ACCCCAAGGATTAGGAAAGGTCGAGGAAAAAGAGAGGCGGAAGGCAACGGGACGAAGGCCAAGGAGGAACACGACGGAGAATTTGCATTCGATTCTCCGGTATAATTGACCGGTTCGATTCACGCCCCTATTCAAACGTCACCGGAGAAAATGTCGCTTTATTTGGAATTAATAGGAATTCCGTCTTCCCTTCTGACTGCTTCTGCTTTCTCTCGCGAGTTCTTTTTCTCCCTTTGTCGATATCTTTGTCTCTCTAGTGGCTCGCATTCTTACACGGGACGAACCCGTTTCACCGAGAGACTCGGGCAGACACGAGTCCGAATGAGTTTCGTTACGGGGGGTGAAAGAACAGAAAACGGTCGGAGAAAACAGAAAAATGGGACGGTCGCGGAGGCGGAGATCAGGAAGCACGGAGACGAATAGGGGTGTGGCAATTTATATACGAAAAAATCTTCCTCTTGAGTATGTACACTCTTCGAAGATTGACAACGTTCGAATGCTCCTGCACTGTCAAGCAACGGAACAAACAAGATTAACCCTGCCGACAGGCTGAGACACGAGGATGCGATATTCTTTTTGGAAACGCCACCCTGGATCGAATGTCAAGCTCTTCGCTCCTTGATTTTTGGAAATTCGGACAACGTCGTTTGTGAAACGGAGCGATAATCATTTAATAAATTATCTTGAAAGCGCAGACGATGAGGATTTTTTAAGCGAAGAATTTCATTTGCGAAGCTGTTAGCGAAGCTACGTTGCAAAGTAAAAGATGAATTCTATATTTTTATGATTTTCTATTTAGTTATTTTATTATGTACTCGATCGTACTGCAAATTCGTACCGATTTTTTGTATCGATTTGCGACACAGCTTCAATTCCAACAAAATCAATCTACAGGGTACAGTGGACCACAAAGGTGTTCGTAATAACTTCGCAATAACTTTTTAAAAACAGAATTACGAGATTTGAATTCTTTTTAGACGATAGCGAACGATGACAAAAATGTTTCTTTTTTAAATTTTGATATTACTTGGAATGATAAAAAGAAATAAAAAACTTTTTTAACTTTTTTATCCGAGCTTATAACGGAAATTTAAAGAATGCCCCTCTCGTGGATCTCGGTAAAATTTTATCGGAATCGGCTGACGTTGTTACGAGTTACAACAAATCAATGATGGCAAAAACTTTTTTTATGTTTTATTTTTTTAATGTTTTGAATGTTTTTTTTATGAACGTTTTTTTAACAAAAACTAGAAGAAATCAGCAGTTTTTGAAATCTTTTCGAACAAATTCTCAGCACAAATCTAAAAGTTACCAAGATCTATGAAAAGCGTTCTTTCAATTTTTGTTGCAGGTTCCGATAAAAAATTTAAAAGATACGAGAGCTTCTTATCTTTTTTTGTCATCCCAAGTAATAACAAAATTTACAAAAGGCATTTCAGTCATCGTCTAATAGACTGGCCCCTCTATCACCTAAAAAAAATTCAAATCGTTTAGTCAAGTTTTAAAAAAGTTATTACGTTTCAGAAGGTGTACGAACACTTTTGTGGGCCACTGTACATTTCACATTATTTCGAAAGGCCATCTATCGCAGAACATGCTGTTCTTTCTGTCCTGATTTGCGACAATGGATCAACTTTAACAATGTAAATCAACAATGTACATTCTTCACTGTATAAAGTGACTATTTAACGCGCAACGCACCGTTCTTTCGAATTGATATAAAATTGTAAAGGGGGATCGTCTATTTCATTTGCTTCCGCTGACTGGTACACTTTGAATTCTTTATTCGTTCCGCTATATTTGAAGATAGCGTTTGCCCGTCTCTAGCCCACGCAACGCACCAGAAATAAATGAGATGATCCTTAGGGGATGGCGGTCGACTCACCTTGAAGAAGAAAGTTCGCATAAACGCGGGCCCCTGGAATTTTTCCTTTTCCCGAGCGCAAGCATGCTTTGTGTACGAGAGCTTCTGGCAAAGCCGTCTGTGGAGGGTAAAAGTCCAAGGACTGTTGCCATTCTCCGTCCATTCGAAGTAAATGTTAACGTTGCTCGCTAGCTTCTGAACCCGTTCGGTGATCCTTGAGACGGCGCCATTTCGGAGACGAACAATTCTATGCGTAGAATACGCCCTTTCGTGCAAACAAAACGCACAACTTCTATCGATCGTAAATCGAGAAAGTATTAATTTTACACGAACTTTTCCAATTATTTGAAAGAAACCATTGATCGGCGAGTTTCAGAAACGTCCAATAAAATTTAAAATTTTTACTAGAAAAGGTCGCTTCTCAGGCAAAGATCCTCTTCCCGTTTTCTCGGTGCACCCGTGAGGTCTCAGGACTCTCTATCAGGCGAAAGAAGGCGAATGGAGACGGACGAGAGTGGGAATTTATGTTAATTCCCGACATTGCGACGCGGACCGATCCGAATGCGACCCGTAGCCGCGCCGCTGGATCATTGCGGAGGAACCGGGCGGAAACGGTGGTAGGCAGAGCGACCGCTTCCGGTTCTGAGCCGGGACAAATTGGTTTTGCTGCTCGCCAGCCGATTCGCTTATGTGCTGGAAGGTATACGAATTAATAGCGTCGAGATACCACGTAATTCCTTCTTGTTTAGCCTGCGCTTTTGGTCCTCCTTGATATTTTGGTCCTCCTCCGCACGGTTAATTCTGCCGTTGCAAGGAAGAACGTCGCAAGTCGCACGTTTTAACTTCCAAGATATCGCCGCTTAATTGCATAATTTTTTCGAGTCTATAAGATTTATTTTTACGATGTCTTTTTGTCAGATAAATACGCGAATCCTGCATGCTACAGTACAATTAATGCATTAAATTAAATTTTCATAAATTGTGTCTCGCGGCGATGTTCTTCATAGCCGCAGAATTCTGTTCCAGCTCAATGGACACAATACAGAATCAGTTTTTCGAAAGAGACTTTGATAACGGAATAATCGAAATTAATATACACGAATAATATTTTAGTAGATTAATATATTTATAACATATCTTGTAGATTATGTCTGAAATTTGTGTCACGAGTCCGACGCGTTGTCATAATGCAAGGTTAATGGATCAAATTCTGAGCTTCTGGTGTGATAAAAAGTTTCTGTCACCCAGGTGTCACCGACACGTGACAGTTGCCACTAAACTATCGTCACCCAAACATGACCGACGCTTGTAACTTCGCGACAAGATCGAAATTATTAGAAGTTCTTACAATTTGAATAATGATGATAATGATAATAATAGGAATAATAATAATAATAATAATAATAATAATGGACGGGTGAAAACGAAAAGAAGTATAAAAAGAGATTTTGTATTGCCGTCACACGAGTGCAATAAATAAAAAATGTATGCAATGAAACAACGTAGAAGGTATGAAGAAAAAGTAAGGTATAGCGTAATACAGTAATATCTCCTTAATTGACGTTCAGATTGTCCACAAAAATGGACAATTTTGGAAGAGGAGACACGATTGTTCGAGCCTTGTCGCTCGTTTTTTATAGTTGTTGACGATCGATAAGTATAAAAAACGAGCTGCAAGTCTCGAATAATCGTATTTCCTCTTCCCAAATTGTTCATTTTCGTGCTCAATCTGAGCGCGAATTAGGAAGAAATTACTATAATACTGAGTAGGGCTCCTCTGATCAGAAGATTTATTTTTGTAACGTCCTAATACCAAAACATTCTATTATCTAAAAATTTCATTCAAGTTCTCTACTATATAATACCTAATGATATTAGATAATAAAACGTTTGCATATCAAAATATTGTAAAAATAAATGTTCCCAAATTATTCATTTCCGTTCTCAATCTGAGCGTCAATTAGGGAGACATTATTGTATATATATATATATATATATATATATATATATATATATATATATACACAATATATTATTATACAATATACTATATTTATAGTATATTATATATATAGTATATTTATTATAGTATAAATATAGTATACTATAATATATATACTATATATATAATATACTATAAATATAGTATATTGTATAATTATGTATTATATGTATAATAATATATAATTATATATATATATAATATTTACAATATATTGTAAAT